CACACACCCGTCGCCACCATCCTATCAGAACCTATCTGTCCATACCTCTACCATCCAGTCTCTACTGTCAGTACTATCCTTCCATCCCTCTGCCATCACAACTGATGAAGCTTATTGGCTAAGAGGTGAAATGTTTTCTTCTTTGTCCTCAAAGAAAAAACAGTCCAGTTGCCTTTTTTTTAAAAAAAAGACAAATGGGATGTATCTTCATTGTTCCACTGATTAACAGAAGAAAAATAAATCAAGCAAAGTGAATATATTTCTTATGGTTTGGAAATCCAAGATTTCTTATTAGAGTATGTAAGCTAAGCGAATATTCAGTACAAATTTGTATCACAGCAGAATTCAGGTTTATGTTTAGTTGCTTCTAAAGCAATTGTCTCTTTTCCATTCCCCTCTCTCCAGCAAGAGCTATGTGCTCTCTCTTTCCCTCTCTTTTTCTTTCTCTCTCCCTCCCCCCTTTCTCTCTTGCTCTCATTCTCTCTTTGCATGTATATGTTCCATTCCCAGGACTATATTCTATGCCTCTGATAAATTGGATTGTGATACACCAAACATATCTGATAATTACATTGTTAGTCTTCAGATGCCACAAGACCATTTGTTTTGTTTTGTTTTGTTACTGCAAAACACTACCACTGAAACGGCTTTAAAAACTCATCTTGTGGCTGGGTTTTTCCTCAGATCTGGATGAAATTTGCATAAAGTCATAAAACAGAGTTATAAAGCAGGGAATTGTGACTTTTTCAAGTGACTGGCAATTTTTTCACAGGGCTATCATATTTTTTTTTAGTGATGGCATTATAATACTACAACATCTACAAGGTAGCTCAGATAGATAGATAGATAGATAGATAGATAGATAGATAGATAGATAGATAGATANTCCTTTTCAAGGAGGGAGGGAGGGACGGTGTGTGTCTCGTGTGTGTGTGTGTGTGTGTGTGTGTGTGTGTGTGTGTGTGTGTGTGTTGCTTCCTGCTCTAATTTCAAGGGAAAAACCACCACCAGGAGATCCCAAGGCCTTTCCCTGAAAACGGCTCCGGACAGCAGAACCCAGGCGGCTGAGGGTCGTGGCCCACCTGCTCAGCTCGAAGGCACCACCAAGGCAGGGATCAGCCTCACCCCACCACTCTCGCCATGGGATCCGGGTTCAAGAGGCCTTTGCCCCCATTTCCTCCGGTTTGAACTCCTCCTCGGCTCAAACAAGGAGAGGAGAAGAGCCACCCGGCAGCCCCTCCACAATCCAGCCTCCGACTCCCCACCCGATGTGGGCCGACCTGTTCGGGGCCCTTTCCCAGTCCGGGAACGCTGCTTTGTGAGTGGAGCCCAGCCAAGGTCTGGATTGGGGCGCTGGGGACTCAGGAGCAGCAGGGAGGCCCCAGGCCCCGATCCTTCCCCCTGGGGAGACTCCAAATTGCAGGACCCCCCGTGTATTGGCCCGTCATTGGCCCTCAAGCAGCTTTGGGCTCCTGGCGACCACCAAGGGTCCCCCGTGTTAACTCTCTCCGAAGACCCCTCCTGGCCTGCCTTCCTTCTTTGCCTTCCTCGGGGCCAGGGAACCCCCCCCCCCCGCAAGCTCTGATCCCCAAGGAGAACGCCAGTCCTTGCATCGCCTGGGGGGGGGGGCAAAGTTTGGTCTCCTCAAGGAACCTGAAAACAGCTCTCACACACACACCGGAGGCTGGGACGGGAGTGAGCCAGGATGGATGCTTGTGCCAACCTTGTGCCAGGTTGGGCGGGGGGGGAGAGCTGCCCCCCAACCAGCATCCCTGCTGGGCAGCCCGAGCCCCTCCAGCCCACCAGTCCTGTTTCTGCCAGCAGCAAACTCGGGGAGCCTCTGGGCCCTCCGACCTGCAGTGGCAGCCCCAGGGCAGGCCAGCGGGAAGCCTGGCGGGAGAAGCCGCCTTTCCTGGGCGACCTGAGGGATGGGAGGGGGCAAGGGGGTTGCCAGGGGAGCTGCGGGAGAGAGGCCACCGGCCTGGGATGGGCACCAAGGTGGCCCTCCCGTGCGCCAGAAGGCAGGCCTCCCATCACTCAGGTGCCCATCGGCTGCCAATTCGGTCGATGCTTCTCTCAGAATGAGGGGGTCCCATCTCTCCCATGGAGGAGAGCAAATGGGCTTCACTGTGGACTGACCAGGCTGGACCTTCGACCTTTGACCCCCCCCTTCCATCTTTGCCTGTGACACAGGCTGGCTCTGAAGCCCAGCTTGCAAGAAACAGCAAAGCTCCTCTGTGTGTGTGCGTGTGTGTGTGTGTGTGTGTTCGGAGCTGCGACCTGCCCTCCGTACTGGGACTTTTGAGTCGTGGGCAGGAGTGGAGGCTCTCGCAGGCACCAGCAGCCCCGTGGCAGCTGGGCTCTCCTTAGCCTGGGCCAAGGGGTGGGTTGATGGCTGGTGGTCTCAGGCCAGGTTAGAGGTGAGAGACGGAGGGCAGCCAAGGCCAGGGGGTCCCGAAACCCCCTACTTTGCCCAGGCCAGTGCCTGCCTCCCTGCCAGGGCTGGCGTTTGGAGTTTGCCAAAGCTCCACTGGGTCCCGGTGGCAGCATTGCCAGCTCCCTCCGTCTCTGGAAGGGGGTGGGGGTTGCTTAGCAAATCCGGAGGCACCTTTTCCTCAGGGTGGGGGGGAGGGAGTTGGGGGGGGGACCGATGAAATGGGATATTTTGTTCTCTAGAGCCCCCCCCCCAGATTCCCTCTGTGGAGCCCCCCATGTGCACAACAGAGCAAAAATAAAAAAGCACCCCAAACTAAAAAATAAAAGACCCCCACCCAATCACAAAATCCCCACCCGATGTGGAAAAATATAAATTCCAATATTTATGTAATAATTTAGTTAGAATACATCTTCTGTATTGTGCAAATAAATTAAAATTAAACAATGGGGAAGAGAGGAAAATGAAAAAAAAAGGATGGAGGAATGAAGATGAGTTAAAAACAAAGGAGAAAGAGAGAGAGAGAGAGAGGGAGACAGAGAGAAAAAGAGAGAAAGAGAGACCAGGAAGAGAGGCAGCCACAGCAGCCACCCCACATTTTGGCCTGAGGGGTCCAGCCACTTTCCAGGGACAAAGGTTGGTGGCCACCCTGGCGGGGGGGGGGGAGGTTGTGGGTGTTTGCACAGCCTGGGAGAGTTGTGTCCTTGCACACCGTTGATCCCTTCTTCCCTTTCCACGCACCTGCCCGAAAAGCTCCACTTTCACATTCTTCCTGCAAGGAGCTGGGCGAGTCAAGCCGGTTTTTCCGTCCCTTCCGGGGGGAGGGGCAGGGGGGGCTTTAAACCAGCTCAGTCCCTCCTGCTCCACCAAGCCCTCCGTGTTTGTTTCTGAAGTTTTTAGTTTTGAAGTTTTAATAACATTTGTATGCCGCCCAATCCCGTGGGACTCCGGGCGGCTAACAATACAGTAAATCAAAAAAAGAAGAAGAGGAAAGAAAATAGATTTAAAAAACACATCATGCACTCCATTCTACGTGGGGCTGGACCATATTTGGGGGTTTTAGTGGCTTTACGGAAGGCCGGCAGAGTGGGAAGGGTCCGGATCTCTGCGGGAAGATCGTTCCACAGGGCCGGAGCGGCTACAGAGAAAGACCTCCCTCGGGTAGTCGCCAACCGGCATTGCCCGGTCGACGGTACCCTAAGGAGGCCCAACCTGTGCCATCTTATAGGTCGTTGGGAGGTGTGTGGCAGGAGGCGGTCCCGTAGGTAGCCAGGTCCCAACCTGTGAACCTGTGAACCTGCTGGTCTCCCATCCACAGGTGGGATTTTTGCCCCTCCCCCATCCAAAAAGGCCATGGAGGCTTCCCTGGGGCGTTTTCGGGAGGGGAAGCTGCCACGGCTGCTCCGAAGGAGGTGCAGAGCCCCCCCCCCCAAGCTGTGAATGGATGTAGGAGGAGCAACTCCCCCCCGCGGAGGCTTCCCTCCCCCTCTGAGAAAAAGCCCTGGGTTTGCCAGGAGCCTAAGGATTAGAAAATACATTCAGACTTCAAAGGACCCTCTGATCACTCTCTACACCTACACACACACACACACACACAGAGAGAGAGAGGGAATTTGGCACTGAGACATTTAGGAGGCCCTGCAAAGCAGCCAGGCCCAAATGGGAACATCTTGCCCCCATCCCCGGACACACACACATCTGTTCAGGCTCTGTGTTGACCCCAGGAGCTTCACTACTAAGAGAACAGCAGAGTTGGAAGGGACCTTGGAGGTCATCTAGTCTAACCCTCCTGGTCAAGCAGGAGACGCTCAGCCATTTCAGACAAAGGACTGCCCAATCTCTCCTTAAAAGCCTCCCACTGGTTCTTTGTTCTCACGGTCAGGAAATCTCTCCTGAGCTCCAGGTGGCTTCCTCCCCAGGAGTGTGCCAGAGCTGCACCTGGACTGGCACAAGGGGGCAGTTTGCATGGCACAGAGAGCCCAGAAGTGACTGCCAAGAGCCCAACCGGCTCTGCCCTCCGGCCACAGAGGGAGCCCCAAGAGCTGAAAGAGGGAAAGAATGTCTGAATGATGGAGAAGAGAAGCCAGGGAGGGGGAGGAAAGCAGGCAGGTATTCAGAAGGACTTTTTTTTGCGGGGGGGGGGGGGAAATGAAAGGCAGACCCCGAAGACCCAGGCAGCCCCACGGATGCCCCAAGGCCCCCCTCAGCAGGGAGAAGGAAGAAGCGGGAAGGACACAGCTCTCCCAAGGCGGCGGGTGCAAATCACGGTTGGGGGCCCTTCCCTCTTGGGCTCTGCCAAGGGGGCACCGGAGGTGAGAGCGCCGGACGGAGGGGCCCCAGAGCCACGGGTGGGGGGGGGGCTAGTGCCCTCCAGATGCTCGCTGGGCAAAGGGGTCTTTTCTGAACCGGAGCTGGCGTGGAATTTGGGAGGCTGCCAAAGGCGCCCCCTCCCATCCCCCAATTGAGGGCAATGTGTCCACAGCTGCCCCCCACCCAAAAGAATAGAGAGGTTCCTGGGGAACGGGGGAGGGGAGGTGCGGGGGGGGAGGGGATATTTACAAACCACAAAGTGCACCTTGGTGGTGGCGGCTATTTACAAATGCGCATCAGTCCTTCAAGTTTTTCAAGTTTTGTAGAAAGGAAAGTGGGGAGGGGGACAAGAAAGGGCAGAGAATAGAAAACAAAGGCTGTTGGGGGAGGAGGAGGAGGAGGAGGAACAGGAGGAAGAACAAAATCAACCAGACCCCCCCCAGGAGGACCAGGGGGGGCTACACAACACGGGCAGCATCGCTCAACAGACGACAGTTAAGGGCTTCGTACACGGGAGTGTGGGGAGGGGAGGGGGGGCTATGTACAGGGGGGGGGTCACAGGAGGGCCACGCGGGAGCAGCCGGGTTCGGGGCCTTGGCGCAACTGGAGGCTCACCCCCCCGACACGCACTCACACGCGCACCGGGAGCGGGAGGGGGGGGCGGCCCGTCACCAGTCTGCGTCTTCCTCTATGTAGTAGTCGGGGGCCGCCCCGTCGAAGACCCCGGGGTCCAGGGACTTGCGCTGCTTCCCTCGGGCGAAGACCCGCGAGATGGAGCCGAAGCCCATCTTCTCCTTCTTCTTCTTGCGCTTCTGGTCCTCCAGGTCCTCTAGAGACTGTGCCGGGGGGGGGGGGGGAGAGTGGACGGTTCACACACGCGCCCCTCCCCCCTGCCCCCCTCCCTCCGGTCCCCTGCTGGGTTTCAGCCACCCAGAGCAGCCCCCCTCCGCCCCCCCCCAGGACCTACCTGGACAAATGGGGTGTGCAGATTTTTCTGTACCGGTCCAGGACTATCTCCCTGCCAGGAAGGAGTGGCACACGTCAGGTGGCGTTTTGGTGCGACATATGGCAACACACACGCACACACACACACACACACACACACACACACGGGAGTCCTTGCATGCAGACCACGCGCAGCCCCAGGAGAGCGGCTCCCGCCTGCGCACGCTCGGGTCCCCGTCCCCCTACGGACAGCTGGACTTTGGGGAAGAGGCGGATGAGGGGGGACCAGGACCTCCATGCTCTCCTCGCCTTAGGACCGGTCGCCACAAAAGAGGCTGTAAAATCTGGTTGGTCACATGACGATCTGCTTTACAGCCAACTTAGGACTTGGCTCCGTTACGGCCTTAAGCCGAGGACTCCCGGGACAGTTGGCAGCCCTCCCTTTCCCTTTGATCTCAGCTCCTCCCTCTCTCTCTGGGCACCTCCAGGGAGGGAGATACCACAGAAGCCACGAAGTGTCTCTTCTCTTCCGTGGCAAACCAGCGAGAGGCGCAGTGCCCCTCCACCTGCGGGGGCTGGCAAGGGGGGGGGTTGGGCTCCACCGTCCCTGCCTGGCACACCGTTCAGCCAGGAACCGAGGGAATTTCCCCTCTCCTTTGTGGAGTCAGAACCCCACCGAGGCTCCGGGAGACCCAGGATGGGCTGCACAGCTGAGAGGGCAGCGGTCAGTCCTCCAGCAGAGAGGCGGCCTCCCCCAGCCCCTCTTTCCCCTGGGCTCTTTGGCCTGGAGGACTACCTGGGCATGACCTGCTCGCCGATAGGGGCCGACGTTCCCACCCACCACTGGGCAGGAGGGCTTCGCATGCCCCCTCAGACGGACTAAGACAGTCACCGCGAACCTTTCCAGTGCTCAAACGCAGCCATGCGCGGGCATCACAGCACCCAAAGACCACGGGTTGGCGCATGCATGCATGCCTGCTTTTGGGGCATTTTGGGGCCGTTTTCAGGCCATTTTTCGGTCTGGTAGCCTGAAAAAGGCTTGGAAAAAGTCCCCCAAACGGCCCGGTTTTTGGCTGTTTTCCGTCCGTTTCCCGGTGCCTGCAAAGACCATCTGGCCGGGGCAGGTGCCCACAGAGAGGGCTCTACGTGCCACAGGTTCTCCACCACGGGACTAAGAGAAAAGCCACCCCACCCCCCAGCAGGCTCACTGGAGGCCCCGTCCGCTCAGCCGAAAGGAAGGCTGGCGGACGCCCCTCTCCTGCTGCCTGGCCTGAAGTGAGGGAGAGGGAGATGTGGGCTCCTCCTTTTAGCTCTGTGTCCCTTTAAAGCAGCCACCTCCCACCCACCCCCCGCCCTCCAAGGGCAGCGGAGAGCCTCCCCCGTGCCCCCCCAGGGCTGGAGAGAAAAGAGTGAGGAACAGCCAATGACCTGCAGACGCGTCTTACATTGCAGAGGGAATGTGTTCTGTGCCGAGGAGAGTTGATGTCGCTCGGCGTGGAGGACCGGTCCCCTTCGGCCGCCGAAGCGTCGGAGATGATGGAAGGCTGCCGGGAGTGGCACGGGCTGACTCGGACCCCTGGAAGGCAAGGGAGGCAAGGGGGAGGGGAGGGAGGGGGGAGCGTGAGAGGACGCAGGCGGCCTGGCTTGTGGCTGGCCAAGGACCGGAATTCCCACGGGGGGGGGGGATTTATTCTGGTTCTTTCCTTATAAAAAGAAGGGACTTTCCTTGGCATGTTATGGATTGCGTAACTTCCGGAACTTTTCTGAAAACGTCTCTTTGCCTTCAATAAGCCGGTTGGGAAAAGGGAGCCTTCCTCCTCCTCCTCCTCCTCCTCCCGGAGGGGGGGGGGGGCTGGCTGGGGCTGGGGCTTCAGCAGGACAGGGGGCTCCAATTTCCTGCACC